CATGTTTTCGTCCCTGAGCAAGATGGTAATGTAGGAAACGGAATAAAAATATCGATAATTAATCGATCGAATTTCCTGCATGATCATGTTAACCCAGAGAGCGTAAGCATCTTATACATTGGAAATGAAAACCTGTAATATCGACCTTGATTAACTTCGACCGTCGCTCCAGCATCCCCTTAAGGCTTTTTACTCTGTTTACGGAGTTATCGTTACATGTCATAAATTATGTTTTTTAGTTGATATGAATTGTTGCTACTATACAATAAATAACATTTCGGCAAGTGAAAATAGATGGGTAAAATAACTATTCTTTAAATTTTTATATACATGGCTCTATTTTCATGACCATTATTGTATGTTAATATATTATAATATATGTATATTATTCTATATTATTCTATATTATGTGTATAATACATGTGTATTATTTTATATTATTCAACACAAAATTAAAAAAATATTTTGACGTTCAAAGTTTGTAATCTAAAGTGCTTTTAATTGTTTTAAAAAATTCATTATCCGTAGTGTATATATACATATTGCAAACTAACAAATGATTAATTAGTTATATCAACTTTACCCGCATCAACTTTTATATCTATTTCTGTACTTCAACTGGCTTGAAGCTATTGCCGATGAATAATTTTGTCCTTAAAAAATCGAAAAAATTTAACATTTTTCGTTTTCTTGTAAGACGTGCGATTAGTACAATATTTTACACAACACGCTGGCATTTCTGCGAACTAAATAAGCAATACTAATATGATCCAATCTATCTTCCTTTTTTTTTTTTTTTCAATTTTAATTGGCTTCACCAACCTATCTTTTATAGTTACGCTGCATGTATGTATGGAAGAAGCCACGATATTTTTTAGCATATGGGGCGAACTCTAATTGGTCGAAAAGCAGACGTTACTTTGGACCACTACGCAACTTCGGGAATGGTATACGTTGTCTTCTTACATCATGGAGTGGACCACGCTCCGTATGGAAAGTCGTGCGTCCCTAGGCAGAGAGAGAATGGGGAGATGGACCTCGCTTCGCGTGGGAAGCCATTACGTACGCAAGGGAGGATATAAGATAGTTTTTAATATTATACGTGGCAGAAATAAGACATCATTTTTTAAACTTTTTTTGTTAATAACTTTTTAACGAATAATAAGCGACGGCTAAAACTTGTTGAAGGACACTCAGGAAAATGTTATCATGACCTTGATAACATATGTCAAGGTCATTGGGGCATGCTCCCTCCATCGACATATTTATTGAATAATATTTTCCGCTATTATTATATTGATAAAGCGCTAAAAAACGCTTTATTAAAATCAACAAAACATAAAAAGTAATTAAATTCTCGTTAATTTAGCAATTTGATTTCTATTCTATTTCTTGTATCAGATAATTTGGATCTAAATTAACAAATAACTGCACAAATCTTATGTAAAATGAATCCCAGTCGAATTGGCTGAAATTTTACTATAATGTAGATCATGATGTCCTGATCAAAAGTCCTCATGAACACAAGGTCCAAAAATGGACAGTTTTCGAGATATTGGATGTCAAATATTGGAAATATGACTAAATTCCAACATTTAATTTCCAATATCTTGAAAACTGTCCATTTTTGGATCTCCTGCCTATGAGAACTTTTAATCAGCACATCATGAATTATATTATAGTAAAATTTTAGCCAATTCGACTGGGATCCATTTTAACATAAGATTTGTGCGGAGTCCTTTGCAGACTTATTGCTAGATAGATTTCATTTTTCAAATATGAGATTTGAACCTTTCAGATAATTTGAATATTCGTATCTAAGTAACTGGATAATTCAATAAATGAATTATCCTCGTGACTCGTATTAACAAATTTGAAGCTTTCTTATAATCAAAAAATTTAAATAAATATAAAAAAAATTATAAACATACACAATTATTGTTAATAAACAAATCAATTATTTTATCATTTATCATTACCGTTCATAGAAAAATTTATAAATATGATTAAATTAATAAATACGATTAAACAAGTAAATGTTATGCAGTTCATTGAATTATATGATAGATAATAATAAAGATATTTTAAAGATTCCCTTCATAAAGTAAAAACATAATAATAAAATCATAATTATTAAAAAATCAATTTAATCGTATTATTATTCCTGCTTATATAATTAAACAATTTTTAAATAAATAATCGTTTATGCAATCGTTTATGCAATCATTAATACTAAATGAAAATTTATGTATTAGCGTAAGGTATCAAATATAATAACTATATCGTCGTGAGACAACTCTTCAATCACAATTCAATAGTTAACCAAATTTTTAACGTAATTATATTCAAATTATTGCTTTTATTTTGAAAATTGTTTATATTATTAAAATATACTACAATATATAATTCATATCACATTACATACCCTCCAGGTTCTAATTCTATTACGCCATCTTCACTCATCCATGAATGCGCTAAGATTTGAGAAATACTTAAACGTCGCTCTGGTTCTACCACCAACATGTGTCTAATCAATTTTTCGCAATCTAAAATAAAAATGTTATTTATATTATACAAGTTTGCATATATTATTTTGAATTTAGTTTACATATACTCTTTGAACCATGAAATAAACAATTTAATAAAAGCAGCATAAAAACCTCCAATAGTTCTCAATGTGACAAACAATCTTTATATAATATAGTTATTTAGTACAATATAACAAATATATAAACATTTCGATCTCCTATTAGGTCATGTATTGTAATTTAATATAACATGTCATAAAAACACTCGCGTTTTCATTGTGTGTTTTTTTTATCACATACTACTGAATTAAAAACTACAAATTCTTATTGCAACCATTGATTATACATGATTTGTCCTCTTCTACATTATAATAGCTTCGTGTGAAGAGCTAGTTCTTCACAAAAATTAATCACAACGACAATCATGATTTCTCCAATTGCACAGAATTCATAACTCCTGTAATTCTTTGTTCATGACTGTCAGATACCAAAATTTCTTAGTCAATAAAATTAATGCATGGTGAAAGAATCATGAAGAATGTTTTATATAAACTACATCTAAATCCGGCTACTGTTAATCAACGGTTGAAATAAAAGGAAAAATATTATATATAGATGCTAAGAAAACTTTAATTTCCATCAATATTTACACAGCCCCTCATCATAAATTCTCTAAAAGACCAAGGTTTGGTAGTAACTAATTAATAAATTAAAAGTTAAGAAATAAAGTTAAAAAGTCAATAAGCATTTAACTTTTAATTTAACTTAGTTAATTTTAAATCAGTTAACTTTTAACTTTAATCAGTTATGTTAGAATTAAAAACATATTAATTTTAACTTATTAACATTTTTCAAATTAAAAATTTTTTTTTAACGTGAATATTATTTTTTTATGAAATTTCTAACTTAGACAATTAGAAACAGTCCAATGATCGCAATGGGTATAATATTTCATATATATAATATTTCCCTTGAGTTAAAAAGAAAAGAAAGGTAGTTTATTTTAAAATGCTGTTTCGTTAATTAAAATTTTATTTAAATAATGTGCTATATAGATATACTTTTATAATAATTATTAGTATCTATCTAATGATCACTATCTTTATCTAAATTCCTTACGTACTGGGTTGAAGGTAAAGTTCTGCGATATTTTGTTAGTTCAAAATTATGTATACAATATCTTCATCAAAAATGAGCAAAATTTAAATTTAGAAAAAAGGTTTTAAAGCTTGGAATCTCTCAGGGTTGCTACAGAAAATGAATTTTAAAATTCCCTGACTTTTCCAGATTTTCCAGATGAAAATGGAAAACAATTTAGAATAAATGAAGGGCTAAGAGCCAGTAATATAACAAAAAATTTTAATTTAACACATAAAAATAATTATATACGTTTCGACACCGGGTCATTTTCAATGTTATAGTAACTAAATTATTATCGGTAATTTATGTAGTTAACAGTATTCTTCATGTCCTGTGTTATAATGTTGCCAGTTAATAAATTAGACATCTTTGAAAATTCTCGGCAGTAAAACCGTAATAATCTTATTAGAAAAGAAGTCGAGAATTATGAATAAAAACGCAAAAAGATGGAGATCCACATCGTGGCCACAAAGTTAATAACATAAAATAGACCAACTCATCGTTGATTCTCGGCAGTAATAGTTTAAAAGTAACCGATAACAAAGGAGAATTAATGCTAAACGTGTAAAATTAACAATATATATAAAACTGTACCTTATTGAATAGTATGTTAAGCGTGTATAAATGAAAATGAACGTAAAACGTGGTGATCCATATCGTGGTAACAAATAGTTATTACTTTAAAAATTGGAGCAAATTTGCAAATGAAATAACAACGAACAAGTGATTTCGACGATATCGGATAATGTAATGTCGGGAAGGAAAACACAAAACGGGAACCAATGATGACAAGAAGGGGGAGACAGGAGAACGCTAGGAAGAGGAAAGAGACTGTATAATGCCAGTATATATTTCAGGCAATGAGTCCGTGTTATTTTGCGTGCCTTTTTATATGCACCATTTCAGATATCAATTTCTTATTATATGAAGGCTCGATATCCAATATACATCCACCTTATCCCATTTAAAATTATGATTCTCCTCGATACGATAATTAGAAATCACAGATGGAAATTTAGATTTTTTTATTAATATCTGAAACGTGCTTCTGCAGTCTAGTTTTTAACTGTCTCTTCGTTTGCCCTACATAACTAACATCACAATTCTCACAAGAAATTTTGTAAACCACATTTTGATTATTCATAGGTTCCAGCTGATCCTTTCCTCTTTTTATTAAGTCCTTCAAAGTGTTTGGAATAGTAAAGGCCAATCTACAGTTAAACATGTTGATAATAGGTGTAAATTTTTCAGATATTGAATTAATATATGGAATTGTGAAAAATTTATTATCTTTAGCATTTATATATTATTAAAACTATTACTATAATTAATATAAAATTTAATTCTACTTTGGATGGTCAAAAAAAAAGTAATCCAGTAGAAAAATTTTCCATGATTAATATAAAATATGTAAATTTTAACATTTAGACTCAAGGATTGTAGGAAAGCTATATTATTAGAAACGCAAAAAAAGCTTAGTATTAAGCATAGGGTAATTCCGGTATATACACCGCACCTATCAAAAGCTTAATTTACTAAGTATTATTTACTATGTTTATAGTAAACGAATTATATTAGTAAAAACCTTGTATTGTCTACACTATTATGAAAAAAATATTAGAAATCCGAAATATTTATTTTCCATATTAAAAAATAAACTTTTCGAAACCCTTGCATTTTTGCTATATATCCCATAGGGGTGGGATATATGACTACTCATAGAAGGAGAGGGAGTATGTACGGCTCATGAAAAATTTACAAATAATGCATATAAATAAGACGTATAATGACACACAATAACTTATATGAAGTAATAAATAATAATTACTATCTTCCTACATATATTACAAGTGTTATGACATGAGATACATATTTCATATGCGTTTATTGCATTTAGTGTACTGAATTCAATCTGCGCACTTTGTATGCTTTGGGCATAAATCCCACCACTCGCTAAAAATACCGTATATCCCAAACAAGTGGGATATACAAGACATCAAACTAAACAAAGAATACGAAAGCAAAGCACTTGTATTTTGCTACACAACATACTTTACAATTCCACTACACATATGTATCACGAAATAACCACTAAATCTTTTACACGTCCTACAGTAATCATTTTATGTAGATTATAATTTATGATGGCGTTACTTATTACAGTGACAAATCGATTCAACTCACAATAATTTCATGAATATTAACGGTAAGAAGCTGAAATTATAAATCAATATAACATAAAGGCATGTAACAGAGTAGTTGCGGGAAAATTACCCCCACTCCTTCTATTTTTTCTGACTTCTGCGGCGTAAATCCCAGCGCGGCGTATTTGTCGGAGTTACCCTAATAAAATTTTGGGTGCAAATTTAAGCCAGTAAAAAATTAATTAGTTTTGAAAAAAAGAATGCAATTACAACGAAAAAGAGGGATCAAATAAAAATACTGAATAAAATATAAATTTAAATCATTTTGTTAAAATCGTTTAAAGTGTGCAAATTTTTAACTATAAATGTCAGATATAATATTTAAAAAATTATAACAATTATTTAGAATAGAAGCAATTTAAGGAAATTGTGAGCAAATTTTGAAATTCCAGACTTTTTTACATTTTCCCCTGATTTTTCCCAGTTTCCATGACCAATTTCAATTTCCCTAACTTTTCCATGTCTGTGGCAACCCTGTCTACTTTCAAAAGGTTACTGTAATTTTTGGGTTTATGTGAATTTAGTAACTTTTACATATAGAAAACTACGAGCTAAAAGAGAAGAGAAGTTTCTATTCTTCCTTCGTAGATTGTTACGTGTCAAAAAAATTTGCGAAAATTTTCGACTATTTATCGTAAAAACTTGAAGAGTTTTCCCTACAAAATCGTTTTTTAAAAATGTTCCTACAATTTTTGTTCTTGAGTTATTCACGAGTTAAGGAAAAAGGAGCATTCTGACTTTAATTGCTCATAACTTCATTAAAAATCGTATTGCAATTTAAAAAAAACAGATTCTTTAAACTGAAACGTTGCTCTATCGAGTGGTGTAATTGCCTTTTTTTTTCAAAAATAGAATGTATACACAATAAGAACAATAAGAATCTTACTGAACTGTACATTTGAAAATTCAACAATAAGAAATAGAAGTAATGGCCATAACGGTCAAAAATAAATCTTTAATGCTTAAATAATTCAATCTGAATTACTACATATACTATATATGTACATGTATATATATCATATTTGTAGTCATTCAAACTGCTCACCGAATTGGTTTTTCGGATAGCGCAATTAAGGAGGTTCTCGCGCTACTTCCTAGTCAATAGACAGTTTATTCATAATAATACGTAAAATAATTAAAATAATGGAATAAAAAGATTACTAACAATATCTTATGCCATTATACATAATTATTGTTAATTTTATGTTACTAAATATTTTCAAAATGACAAAATAAAAGTTGTAAGATACTCATTTAATGTACACGCATCGTCCATTTGACATATATTCTAGCTTTTTTCATTAAAGAATATAAATTTCTTGTAAACTGTATGGTCAAATGAAATTTAAATAAAACTTTACGAAAACAAACTAAGTGTTTACTTTATAATTATAACGATTTTTAAATTGCTGTCTTATACGCAAGTGTATCAATTAAAAAGAGAATAATTACAGAATAAGGTTATACCTTTAACTTGTAATGTAAAATTCTATAAATTTATAATTAAATATCATCAAAATGGTACGGTAAAAATCAATGAAATTTTTTCTAGATATTATTGATATTATTAACTTTTGTGTTACATGTATATTATAGATCTTGTCTTATATTTCATCAAACGCGAAAACCTCCTTAAACTACTGTAATAATATCACGAATTAAATTGATAAGCAA